GCAAGGTGCTATAAAGGTGCTATAATCTATTCTATTCTGATTTGTATGTGTGTTCTGTGTGTGTGTGTGTGTGTAAAGTGAAGGGGGCTACAGCTTTAATTTAGTTGTTTATTGTAGCATTACTAATAAATGTACCTTGAACCATATTACCCCTGTGGTCACATAATGGTCACAGCGGCTGCTAACACACTCAACCATCTACAGAGAACAAGGTGCTGGGATTCCTGCCATAATTGGCCCCTTTACACTGCCCAGACTCTAACAAGTATTAACTGTGTTCCCTGCTCTCTTTGTGATATTGACTGACAAGTTTGATTCAGGTTTAGTTTATGTTTGGAGAGTGTGTGGCTGGTATGTGAGTGGGATATCTGCTGTTTGCGGATGGTGCAGTGCTTCTGGCATCATCACACAGTATCACCAGTGTGTGTTAAAGCAGTTTGCAGCTCAGTGGGAAACATTCAGGATGAATCATAAACTCCAAGTCTGAAAACTTTCTCTCTCTCAAAGCCGGTGTTTTTCAGGTGAGAAGAGTGGAAGAGACTGATCATATTCATTTAAAAAATATAAATTTAGTGTGGATATGAATAGTTATGAATAGTTTTTTTTACCACTTGGGGAGCAGTGCAAAGAACTCTAAACACAACACTGACATACATTATCACCTTTGTTAGTTGATCTGACAGTCTTGTTAACAATTTAACGGAGCAACAATAGCATTCATAGAGTCGTGTTGTACCCATAGACTATATATAAGAAATGGACGTAGTCATCGTGATGTCACCCGTTGGTTTGTGGACTGCCCTTTTGAAGCCTCGAGTTTGGCCAATAGGCCGCTGCCATGTCGAGTTTTTGCAACCAGTGCCCGGAAGTGACGATACGGTGGAGCTAACGGCCGTGTGCGGAGCTAGCTAGCGTGCTTAGCTAGGTGCAACTCATGTCATTTTAACAGGGCTGATAACTTTGTCTAGAGAACAACAGTCTTAAAACTAAATGTACTCACCAGAGAAAGTGAACAGCCAACTCCTGATAAGCTTTTTCAATGACACTGATTAAAGTTACACAGCGCCGTGGGTAGGAGTCACTCTAGCCTGATTGACAGGTCGCCATGGTAACGACTTCACTCATAGATAATTCCGCCCTGAAACATACTCTGCTTTATGGTCTATTTTAAAATAAATGGGACCATAATTTACTAAATCAACATCATTTTGTATTAAAGAAGACTTGAAACTAGCGACTGAGACCATAAACTCATTATCAAAGTGTTTACTGAGGGTAATAAATCAGCTGAGAAGTAGTCATTTTCCCATTATTTCTAATGGAGCCGGACTTCTTTTTGCAACCATAAGAGTCGCCCCCTGCTGGATTTTCAATAGAATGCAGATTTCAGGGTCTTCCGCATCGGCTTCATATTGTAGACCGGAAGCTTCCCGCTTGGTTGTACCTAATAAATGTAAGCCCAAATATTCACTCTCCTTCTAGCTCTGTTTTGGTCTCCACCTCTTCCTGAGGGAAATAACAGGCCCTTTCGCTGGTAAATGTGCCACCATGTTCACTAGCTAGTCACTATACCTGTCTGCGTCTGCCGTTTGGTGATGGACAGGTAGTGTGCAGTCAGGATTTAGAGCTTTTCATTGAAAAGAGCGGTCTTCTGTGGCTGGAAATAACACTGGTGAGAGCAGCGCTAAAACGCTGAGGGAACTTCTGAGGGAACTGCACTTTTGTCACATGTGTAGCATGATATATAACACAGCTTCATGTCATGTGGTATATCTGTGTCATACTCTTTCTTTCTCTCTTATCTACTGTTTTCAATGTTTCCTTATTTTGAGTTGTATAGCTTTATCCAATATCCAAATACACACAATAATCCTCTGCTCTAGCTATAAGACCACAAATTCCCACAGATAAAATCTGCAAGCGGGGCTGCGAAATCTAATTAGAGCATGCATGAGATCAATTTTAATAAAATTGTGAACTGCAGTCTGTTTCTGATGATTATGTAACAGGCAGGATATGGGGATGTGAGATGCTAGGTCTGAACAGGTTCAGAGAATGGGAAAACAGAGAAAACCAGTGAGAAAAGGATTCATTGGGATAAAGGTCATAATTAGAAAGAGGAATTTAATGAAATAATCTGTTTGGTGTCCCAAATTCTGAAGCAGTTACATTAAAACAAATGACTCAGTCTTGTCAACTTGATACTTCCCCACAGATCCATAGACAGAACTGGATGTCCTTATCTGTCTTCATGCACCGGAGGGCTAAGACTGATTACTGGCCAGTACGGCTGCTCTATCACCAAATGTGTGTATTGAGTGCCAAGGCTGATGTAGTGATGTCATTTGTTTTAACCTCATCTGCATGTACAAGCAGTTTGAGACCATGAAAGGCAAGGTTTTCTCAGTCACTGCAGCCTCCTTTCCTGTCTGTCTATGTATATTTCTATCTATCTCGGTCTGTTTCTATGACTCACACTGTCTTTCTGTCTCACTGTTTGGAAATAACACATCATTATTGAACATTGTGCTGTAGGGTCACAGAAGGGCACAATGTCTCTGACTTTTACACTCCTTAAAATTGGTTTTCTTATCTTTTCTTGTCATTAAAGAAATTAAGTTAATTCCCCTAAAGCATGTTTCAGGAAGTTACTCTTGTGTCAGCTAAAAGCCAGAAACTAGATATTATTTCATATTTTCATTTTATCTTCAAATGTATTCTGCTGTTATCGTAAAGAAATTGTTTTGGGAAATATGCCTTACCGCTTTCTTACCGAGACTTGGATCAGAAGATTGATACCACTCTCATCCTTTTCTGCATGTCATCCCCTCTCTCCCCCTTTATCTATCTTCAGCTGCTGCTGCACAAAAAAAAGAAAAGAAAAGAAATGTGTACAGCATCACCTACATGCGTGTGAATGTGCAAAGGGGAAAAATCCTGCTCCATAGCATTACTAGAGGTCAAAAACTATGGTGATACAGCTCAAAGTCAGTTGTCTTGGCATAAAGACCTGAATGGACAGCTGCCTTGGCTCTGTGCAAAGTTAATAAAATCTGCTTACCAGAAACTCTGAAGCTAACAAATTAACACGCTATATCATTTGTTTAATCAGTTCCAAAACAAAAATGTAAAATGAAAAGTTGTGGTTTAACTTGGGGTTATGTTTTGGATTATTTCAGTGACTTCCAATGCTGACAGATGGATTTGTTTTTACCTTTGACAGAGTCATGCTAGCTGTTTCCCACTGCTTCAAGTCTTTATGCTAAGCTAAGTTAACTGCCTGCTGGCTGTGGTTTCATATTTATGGTAGAGAATTGAGAGTTGCTTTTGTGCTTCTGCTAATAAAAGCTTTAACGGCTATCACGCTTATAATGCCTTTTGATGCCTTTTTGCTTTTGATGACAATCCCCCATAGTTCAGGCTGACATTTTGAGTTGAACTCAAAATAAAGTTATGTGGGCTTTAACATAAGTTTGTAATGAGGAACCACCAAAGGCTCTATTGGCCATAGGAGATGAAGGACCCCCCCAATGAGGCAAGATAATTTGATTTACATAGCACATGTCATTACATGTAAAGTCAATGTGAAATGACTGAGGAAATATGGCACAACAGAATTACAACTAATGTTTAACTAATACTTTTGCAGAACACAATGTAGTTATGTGCACAGGTGGAGTTATAACACAGTTCGCTGTTCTTTATTTCTCTGTATCTCTATTTGGTATTGTAAGAGCACCCTCTAGTGATTTATCCTCATTACACTACATGCCCACTACAGCAATCAAGTTGGTCTCCGTCCTGTTTCTGCTTTGTACTCAGGGATGTGTAAAATGGCATGATAACATCTTAGGATGTTATCATAGAACTTCTCATATTCCTTCTACTCACATTATCTGGAAACACTTGTCCAATGTCCAATTTTGAGATATCCTTGTTAGACTATGAGGCATTAATTAAGTGTCTTCTCAAATGTCTTGCATCTTGCAGGTATTCAGTGGATTAACACGAACTAACTGTAAATCAAACAGATGTCTCCATTAGTTTGGTGTTTTCCTGGGAAATGCAGTTCTAACTTGCATTCTTGTTCGTACATAGTAACTGCACCAGTTTTTTGTTTTATGTGGGCTGAAGGGTGAGTCAGAGGAGAGTGACTAATGATTTAGTCATCCATGTGATTCACACAAAGTACACGCACACACATGCACATCCTGTACACATACAAAAGTTAGACACACTTTGTCCTTGCTTTTTACTTCTTTCTTTCTCTCAAATTCACACAATGCACATGCACACAAATACAGGTAATATAATAACCCATTTTATGGGACCATTTTTGGATCTTTACATGTCATCCTCAGGGCAGTCTTGTGCTGGAAAAAATACAGAATATTGGCGTGCCTTAACAAATCAGTTCTTAAGAAAAATAAGCTACACTGTAAATGTTGATTGTTTACCAGTTTCCTCTGCACATCTGAAACTATAGTTAAAGAGAAACAGTGTGAACAAACATTTTGTGGTTATCTTTACATGTGGCTCATTTGATTGATACTCAGCAAGGGAAACTAAAATCAAAATCCTTTCCTTTGTTGCCAATATGCTGACTCACTTTGACTGAAATTTGTCTCTCTAAAATTTAAATTAAAACTCTGCTGTTCACATGTGCCTTTGACTGATTGATTTCTGTATTGCACTCTTATTTTCATTATTTTGTTTTTAAATGTGTTTTAAGTATTTTGAATTATCTGTGTGAATCATAGACTGTATATAAAAACATGTAAACGTGCTATACACATTACACAAATTATAGCCTATAAATTGAAAATACATTTGCTCTGCCTCCAGTTTGTCTTTTAGCTTGTAGCTACAATAGCACTACAAATCAACAAATCAATTATGTGCGTAATATTTGACACAGTATTTATTTAAATGCTTTCAAGACGTTTTATTTTGAAAATACAAAATAGTCATCGCGTGTTTTCTACAGTGGTTTTCTGTTAACACCTTTTATTTTGAAGTCAACGACCCGGAAGCCTTACGCCATCTTTTTTCTTCTTTCCGGTGTCCTGCACTCTTCATCATGGCACAAGCAGTTCAGAAACTCGTCGCAAAAGTACCCACTTTAGTCGGGGGTAAGTTTACTTTACTCACCCTTGTTGTTTTTTACCAATTATAAACTGAGGTAGTGGAATAAACCATATAACAGTAGCTACGTCACATTGTTCATTGCTCTTTGGCAGCTGCTCAACTTCAGTGTGACCTCTGGTACGGTAACGTTAAGCGCAGGTAACGTTATTTAAATATATAATTATATATCAACCACTGCAGGTTACAGGTAACGTCAGAGTGTCAGTGTGATATTTCGGTTTTCCTTTGGGTAGTTACTCAAGAAAGGCCAAATGGCTTAGTGGCATTTGCTGCTTCTTAGCTAATGCTATTTCCTTTTTAAAAAGTTTGTTTTTATCACATGCAGCCGCGGTCACATACTCGAAACCCCGACTAGCGACCTTCTGGTACTATGCCCGGGTGGAGCTCGTCCCACCGTCCCCTGCTGAGATCCCCAAAGCCATAGAGGCCGCATCGGGTCTCATCAAGAGCTTCCAGTCAGGACGCCTGCGACAAACCACAATAAAGGTGTGTGCCCTTACAATCTTGACCGGCACTTGGCTTTCTGTTGTTGTGTGTGAACGTTGAAAAGGGCAACAACATGTGGGGGAAAAAATTATCGGCTGAATTCTTAAAATGGTACGCCTTTATTAAGTAGGAATGGATATAATCAAGTTTGGTCTAGAAATACAGCATGCATTGATTTGTTTTCACCTGTATGGTGTGTTAGGGAGCATAAAGGGGTTAAGGCCCAGAATCATTAAATAATTTACCAAGCAAAGCCAAATACTTACTGGTTTCAGCTTCTTCACTGTGATGATTTACTGCGTTTCTCCACAAAAGGGATATCCTTAAATTTGAAATATTGAACAGACAATGCAAGCTGACTATACAGGTTCAGGCTCACGGAAGTTTTAACTGCCATTTCATTAACTTTTGGGATTTTTTTTTTTTGGACTTTTATTTGTCACTATATTCACTAAACAAATAATCAACAGATTAATTAATAATCTAAGTATATATGTAACTGTTACAGCAATCCAAAATTAAAATCTTATCAAAGTCCTACTTGTTTTTATCAATTTATGAAACCCTTAATTTGTACAAAATAAGTTCAATAAAACTGACCTGGATGCATGATGAAAGATGTGTGTGTGTGTGTGTGCGTGCGCGTATGTAGAGGTGCTGGTCATATAATTAGGATATCATCAAAGTTGATTTATTTCAGTAATTCCATTCAAAAAGTGAAACTTGTATAATGTATACATTCATTCCACACAGACCGATATATTTCAGAAGACTGCTGACTTGACAGCTGTCCAAAAGACGACCATTAACACCTTCCACAAGGTCAAAAGGTCATTGCTAAAGAGGCTTGCTGTTCACAGAGCTCTGTGTCCAAGCACATTAATAGAGAGGCGAAGGGAAGGAAAAGATGTGGTAGAAAAAAGTGTACAAGCAATAGGGATAACCGCACCCTGGAGAGGATTGTGAAACAAAACCCATTCAAAATGAGGGGGAGATTCACAAAGAGTGGACTGCAGCTGGAGTCAGTGCTTCAAGAACCACCACGCACAGACATATGCAAGACATGGGTTTCAGCTGTCGCATTCCTTGTGTCAAGCCACTCTTGAACAAGACACAGGTTCAGAAGCGTCTCGCCTGGGCTAAAGACAAAAAGGACTGGACTGCTGCTGAGTGGTCCAAAGTTATGTTCTCTGATGAAAGTAAATTTTACATTTCCTTTGGAAGTCAAGAATCCACATTGCTTGAAGTCCAGTGTAAAGTTTCCACAGTCAGTGAGGGTTTGGGTGCCATGTCATCTGCTGGTGTTGGTCCACTGTGTTTTCTGAGGTCCAGGGTCAACGCAGCCGTCTAACAGGAAGTTTTAGAGCACTTCATGCTTCCTGCTGCTGACCAACTTTATGAAGATGCAGATTTCATTTTCCAACAGGACTTGGCACCTGTACACAGTGCCAAAGCTACCAGTACCTGGTTTAAGGACCATGGTATCTCTGTTCTTAATTGGCCAGCAAACTCGCCTGACCTTAACCCTATAGAAAATCTATGGGGTATTGTGAAGAGGAAGATGCGATACGCCAGACCCAACAATGCAGAAGAGCTGAAGGCCACTATCAGAGCAACCTGGGCTCTCATAACACCTGAGCAGTGCCACAGACTGATCGACTCCATGCCACGCCGCATTGCTGCAGTAATTCAGGCAAAAGGAGCCCCAACTAAGTATTGAGTGCTGCACATGCTCATACTTTTCATGTTCATGCTTTTCAGTTGGCCAACATTTCTAAAATTCCTTTTTTTGTATTGGCCTTAAGTAATATTCTAATTTTCAGAGATACTGAATTTGGGATTTTCATTAGTTGTCAGTTTTAATCATCACAATTAAATGAAATAAACATTTGTCAACATCAGTCTGTGTGTAATGAATAGAATATCCAAGTTTCACTTTTTGAATTACATTTATTCATTTAGCTGACGCTTTTATCCAAAGCGACTTACAATTGCTATACATGTCCAGGTCTCTCACACCAAAGGCATGCGTCTTATCCACTACGCCATCACCACCCCATATAATATTCTAATTATATGACCAGCACCTGTATACTGTATATGGTGTGTGTCCTGGGACTGGTAGCAGGTAATTGTATGCATGGGAAGGGATTCATTTATGCACTCTACAATTACTCTTTCATGTTACATTGTCAGGCCTTGTTTAAACTACCATAACTCATTTTCTAACTCTGGAAATTGTCATTAGAGCAATTTTCTTGAGTGAAATTTGTTTTTGTTTTGTAGGATGCCTTGAGGAATGGACTTGTGACCACTGAGGTGCTGATGTGGTTCTACATTGGAGAGTGCATTGGCAAAGGAGGCATTATTGGATATGATGTCTAAATATTTTACTTTTCTTTCTCCTTTTGCACTTATAATTGTCACATTCTCAACTACCTGCACCAAATTGTCCAATAAACAGATGTCTAGTCAGAAGTATATTTAGTGTCTCTTGAGTGTTGGTTTCCAGATTGTTGGATAATATATTAATCACAAAACGCTTTAAATATAACTGTTGGAAAGTTGCATTGAGTTTTTGGGAAATTTCATGCACAACTGAATGACAGTGAAGATCTATAATTACTAAACTAAATGTTCAATGTCACTCGGAGATTGCAGATGCCAACGAAAATGTTCTTCATCAAGCTGCATATTTTATAGATTCCACAGCTATGTAATGATCGACATCTCCTCTCGCTCTCGACTTTCCGACATTGTATTTACAACATTTTCCAAGTATCTGCGGAAAGCTCGCCTCACATCTTCTGGTTCCTCCTCCAGGTTGGAGTGAATAAGCAGCAGTCTGCTCAGATGTGAGGCTGCATAAGAAAGAATATACATGTCAGCTGAAAAATAGCAATAATTATTCATACAACAGCTTTGGGAGGCTTGCAGTGAAAATACCTAAGGGCAGCCGTTTGTCTTCTACTCCGCAGCCAGGCTTGTGGTGAGCAATGAGTAGACACTGGTTGTCCTGCAAACCTTGAGAGGAGATGAACATCGAGTGCCACGTCTCTATTTCTTTGAGGTGACTTGGAACATCAGGATTAAAAATGATCACCACACCGCTGGAGTCCTTCATCAGTGCAGGCCAGCATGATTCAAATCTGTATGAAGAGAACAGATTGTCTATCTGCATCTGGATATTTGGCACTGAAAAGGACACCAGTTATTGAAAGTAATGACTTTTCTAATATGTCACAAGTTGGGACAGGGTAATGGATACGTCATTGTTCAATGAAAATGTGTTTGACATTTAACTTACTTAAAATCTCCTGAACAGTCCCAGAGTTCAAACTCACATGTCGTGTTGTCGCCACTGCCTTTAGGTTCTGATTCAAATTCCAGTATCCTTGAAACAGTCAAATAGCTGCATTTTGTTTTTCTGATACATCACATGGTAAAACGGATACATTGCTGTAATCATCTAATCGTGGAGGTAACTGATTTTTACACTAAAATTAAAATGGCATTCCAAAAGTTCTGTTATTTTCATCTCAGGGATTTAATGAGTTTGGGTAAACTGCCTGTACCATGTGGAAAGCAGTTAAGTTTAAACAGGGTTAGTACCTTACTCCTTGAGTAGGTCTGTATTCACCTCCCACATTTTCTGTTGTGTCTGAGAGAAAGTTTGCAAGAACCGTTTTCCCACTCTGAAAAACAGACAGATGATTTTAGAATAGTCATATCATATGAATGCGCCATTTTCACAGCAGACATTTTGACAGACAGTATAACTTCCTTAGTTGAACACCCAAAGGGAACAGAGCCATGTTCACATAATTGGTTTCACCTGTGCTTTTCCTGCAAGTCCCAATGTGTGCTGTGAAAAAGGTATCAGAATTACAACTTTTACTTAAGTTAAAAGTTGATAGTCAGACTTCTCAACACCCACTTAAGTAAAAGTATTAAAATAATACCAAAATGTACTTCAAGTATCCAAAGTAAAAGTAAATATTTTGCAGGCAGCATTACATCTTCAGTGTTATATTATTCTATAATGTTATATTAGATTATTATAGTCTGAAATGTAAATATATTAATCTTATAGCTGGTCCAGGTTGAGCTAATTCAAATGTATGTACATATTTTTGGCTGTTCCAGTGTTTTTTTTAATGTAAAATATTAACTAGCAAAGTCACTAGTAATTGTCGAATAAACAGATATCTATAGTCAGAGAAGTATATTTACGTCACTTGAGTATTAATTTCCAGTGTGGCTTGGGTGATATTTTATTTACAAAAGACTTTAAAAATATAAGAAACAAAAACACCTAAACTGTAGGAAAGTTGTATTGGGGTTTTGGAAAATTTCATGCACAACTGAATGACAGTAAAGATCTATAATTGATAACTTAGAAATGTGATGTGTGAAATGTGAATGTTCATAAATGCCACTCAGAGATTGCGGATGCCAAAGAAAATGTTGTTCATTAAGCTGCATATTTTATGGATTTTGCTGCTATGTAATGATAGACATCTCTTCTCGCTGTTGACTTTCCGACATTGTTAGCTAGCTAACTTATATCTGTATAATGCATCAGATTTCAACTAATGAAATGTTTATAATCCGTGGTCCCTTTCAAATAAACGTTAAAAACGGTAACGTTACTGTAGGCTAAAAAAATGCTACGTTACGTTTCACCACTGCACACTTCTCGGTTAAAGAAACGTTAAACAAACACACGCACAGGCGCTCAGGTTTTTGATGCAAGCATACACTTGTGATGTTTTTGTTTGTTGCTTTTGACACGGAGAAATCAGTTTGAGCATTGAGCGAGTGAGCATTTTAAGTCACAGAGTGCAATGGTTGTTAGCTATCGTAATATGTGCTAAGCACATAAAAGCTTACGCGTTCACTGCTCACAAACTACTATCTAGTTAAGTTACCTATCGACATCTGACAGTAAAAATAGAGGGAAGGCGTGTACATACCTCATTGGGACCAATAAAGAGTATTTTTGCTTTGAACATTTCCATTCAAATGAAGCCGAGCATTAGCTGTCCAGCTAACTTGAACTGCAGAAGCTCTAGCAAAGATAAGCTACGCCACGAGAATAGGTTAAACAACACTCAGTTTTATCTTAACAATGCTATACTGTGTTTTGAGTTTCATGCAAATAAAATGTACAAAATATGAATACTGTAAGTAACGTTAACTTGATGTTAACCGTAAGATGCCGTGGAAGTAAACTTTTCGTTTCTATGGTTTCAGCCAGTCTCTTTGCTTGCTTTCGTTCATTGGCTGTTCGCAACTTTAATCAAACTAAGTTCCGCCCACTTTGACCTTGGGGAACAAATCAGCAGTGAGAAAATAACTCTGTATCATTACGTTGCCTGAGAGCTAGCCAATCCGGTTCGAGCATTGAAGAGGGGCGGTTCAGTTTGGAGTAGCGTTATTCACAACCGACAAAAGGTGAAATCGTAAGTAGCTAATATTTACATTTTCAGTGGCGTTATTTTTACGGGATTACGAAATACACGTCAGTGGCTTTGCTTTGCTTTTTGCTTTGTGTTTTGAGTTAACATAATGTTTGCTGTCTTCAGTGTAACGTAAAGCTTAGCAGTCACTAAACCTGGTACTGTCGTCTAACGTGATCTGTTGCTATCAAGCAAGCTTAGTTAGCGTGCTTGACAACCTACTGTAGTCTTACTGTCCTTCAGAATAATGTGTAAGCTAGGCTGTGCAGTCTAACTAAGATCATTTTAAAAGTCATGTGAATGTGAACTAACTTCCTGCCCGCCTCTGTATGTCAACACTGATATTGTATGTTGTTTTGTCAGTAGTAAGAGGTATGTCTCCAGAGGATGAACTCCAAAGTCCCCCACTTGGTTTCAGCTCTGCCAGGGAGGATGTCTCTCTGAGCTGTGGTGATCTGGCTAGGTCTCACGAGCTGGGGAGAAGGAGCAGAGCACGCAGCGTTCTTCACACAAGTACCCCAGAGGCTGACATCAATTGGTGAGGTCCTATGGTGCACCAACATGTAAACATACAGTCTACTATGTGGGGATAAACACAGTCTAACTGAATTTAAAGCATTTTTCACCCTGTTTGTCATTTAGTCATGGAGACTTTGCTGATGGAAAAAGCCCTTTCTTGAAAATACTGATGGATGCAGAAGCAGCTGCAAACTCTGCTGCCGTACAACTGGTGTCTTTTAAAGATGCCATGGAAGATGAATTTGCTGTATGTTTGTTGCAATTCTGCATACATTGTCGTGTTAAATATCATTTTTACATTTATAATCGTTTATTCTAACTTTCTTGCAATTAAGGATTCAAGACAGTCTGCCAGTGATAAGCGCCGAATTGCAAGGCAGAGAGGACTTTTGCTGGAGAAGTTGGAGGATTTTAGACGAATAAATAAGTCTGTTCGTCAGAAGCTGAAACAGCTCCAAGATTCAGAGGTTGGTTACAATACTACCTTGTATATATCTCAGGATAGTTATGGGTTTAGATTCATAGTAGTACTGTATTACTTTAAGTTCATAACAGCAAATGGAAAAACTCTCACACTGACTTAAATGCTTCTTGGAAATTTGTGAAAAGTGTGTTTTTCATTATACTTGTTTTAAATAACTAAATCTCTATCTATCTATCTATATGTCTGATATATATATATATAATATAATCTTTCCATACAGACTGATCAAATTGATGCCGTCCACCAAATAGACATTTTATTGAAGAAGATCACACAGGCTGAGGGTGAAAATGAGGTGAGGGGTTTCATTATGTATATGCAATGAATCAAGGGAAAGAACTTAATTTAAGTGTATGCAAATAAAGCTTTGCGCTTAAGTCGTGGCAACCTGTTTGAAGATTTAGTCTGTGAAAAGGGGTTAATCTGGGTTAATCTTATGTACTACATACTGGTTTGAATGGTTCAATTGGTAAGTGCTGGTCAAATTAATATCAAAGCTGTGTCACCTGACATAGCCACATTTAGTACTAAATTAATGTGAGATATGACAAAGTCATCTACTGTATGAGAATGTACTTTTATTGCACAAGAACCCTAGAGAACAAGAATAGCATGCGAATTCCAGTCTCAAATCATCTGCTGACTGCTGTCGTTTTTGTCTTAAAGCATTTAAAAAGAGATTTGAGTGAGACAGAAAGAAGAGTCGAGGAACTGATGGATCTGCGGAAAGAAGAGCAGGTAAGCACAGCAGAACTTTTCATATAGATGTGCTTGCAGATTCTGAAAGTGCAAAGGATGCAAAGTGTATTTTAAAGCATCCATCGATAATGTTCTTGACAGGAGAACATAAAGAGTGCTGTTCACATGACCAAGTCTGTGGAGGCGACTCGTGCTCACCTGCAGGCGCAGCTGCTCAACAAAGAGGCCGAAAACAATCGTCTAACTGTACAGCTACGGGTAAAAATGGCTTTACCACTCTCTTGACAAACTTAAAGAAAACACATGATATTATAGCATATCATTATGTGTATGCTGTCCTTTGCAGACTTTGGAGAGAACCCTGACCGAGCAAAAGATGGAAATTGATGATCTGAAAGGCTCCATCACCTCTCTGACGGAGAAGGCAGCACAGGACAAAGAAGCTCTCAAGAAAGCCACCCGAGCACAGAAACTAAGAGCTGAGAGGTTTGAAGCTGCTATTGAGAAATGCTATGCGCAAATGAAAGAAAAGGTATAAAGTCAAAATAGTTGTGTCTTTTTTATATATATACACACATCATTCAGGATCTAGCTTTGACATTATTTTCTTGGTTGGCATGCAGGATGCTCAGCTGGCCAGCGCCCGTTTAGAAAGAGACTCCAGGAGACAGCAAAAGGAGCAGATGATGGATGCGAATGACAAACTTGTCGCTCATATAGAATTGTTGAAAAGGTTGGCCATTTCTCTTTTCCACACACCGCCACTTTTTTAATAATGGAAACCAACACACAAATATATGGCAACCACCAGTTTTCACTGATGAATTTTAAATGTGCACTCTCAATCAAGCCAAATTGCAGACTTGACAGCGAGGCTGCAGAAGGAGAAGGACGAGCTCACTGCAGCTAATGAAACTGTGATGCAACGTGTTGAAAAACTCAGTGCTGAAAATGGAGACCTCAGCCTCAATAATGCAACACTCAAGGTACAAGTAGCCAAACAGGTTGCATGTCATTACTGTAAAAGGTATTAAAAAAACACTTGCAGCATAAATCATGGACTTTATATAAAAAGGCATAAATATGTCCATAATTATTCATACTGGCAATTAGTATCCACAGTCAGCTGACCGATGAACATTTGTTATTTCTAGTTTCTCTTGTTTGTGCACATCCATAATATTCTTAAGAAAGGTGAAATCTCTCTCTCTCTCTCTCTCTGATTTATTTTTTTTCTATCACTAAAATGATCTTGATGTTTGTGCTATTGCAGGCATCTGTTGCTCAGTTGGAGCAGCAGCTGGCTGATTGTGAGTCTGACCTAGTAGAAGAGAAGATTGTGTCTCAGGAGAGGAAACACGAAGCCGTACAGTGCCAATACCAGGTTGACATCTGCTCATTCATTTTACTCATTACCTTCTTTTCATTTATTTTTGTGGCTCTAACCTGGAAGATTAGAGTTCCCCCACCAGATATTTTAATTTGAAAAATAAAGATAATAGTCGTAGTAGTCAACTAAGACTTTCAATATGCAAACATTTAATTCACAAAGAGCATATTTGCAAATTAACACACATTTTACCATATTTGAACCCACACATAATGAATATGAAGTGACACCTAACAATGTACTCCTTAAAAAGCCCACATGGCACATTAATCACTGTAATTTATAAAGGAAAATTTGAAGTGTTTTTTTCAGTATGATTCTGTTTTATAACAGATTATAAACACTGTGAGGAAGAAAGCATTTGATATCTGAGATGAAGTTGTTCTCAACAGCATTGCATTCATACAGGAAGCCCTGCAGCCTCTGTGATATAGGGAGGAGATCTTAATTCATTAATGCCAATTTCTGATCATCGTTACTCATTTGTATAATTGAATTATGCTAAATGTTTTCACATATTTAGATTGACGATATTATGTGTCCAAAAATATGGAGCCAGTTTATAATCCAAGAAAAAATGTCCTAGATGAAAGTGCTAAATTTACAAGAACAAAACTTGGAAATTCCCTTAAATTAAAGTTACAAAAATTCCAAATCACTTTGGCCTAGTTCACAGCAAAGTCCCAGTGCATATGATAATATGGTGATTGTGGGCTAAAATCATGATTATTTCCTCTGCTAAATCCAGTTAAGAAGTATAATTTTCCACTCCGCACATAATACACGGTAGCAGCGTCTGTATGATGTTGAAGCCTTGCAAAATGAAGCAATGTGGTTCCTTGAACCAGAGAGTTTCTCTCATAAATGTATGACTTTAATATAATATCAGAGAATATTCAAGTTTTTTACTTGTAGATTTGTGATTATTTCCCCCCATAAATTTACCACTGAAATACTGAATTTTGTTCTCTTTACCCCTCACCCCTGGCACCATATATTTTTAAAATAACAATGGACCAAATTTGCATCTTAATCATAGTGAACATAAAAGAAGAGTCCATAATGTACAAAATTGAGAACTGTACCAAGAAAACTCTGAAGATAATTACAAATTTACTCAATATGCTACCAACAAGCCTAACCTATTTGTTATGCACCAACTCCAGTTACGTTGACTCCAAATCCACTAACCAACATCTTATTCACTGTTTAACACCAATGTAGGCAGTCAGAGATTGTCAACCCTGACTTTCCTTGATAACTCCGAGTTAAAACTGAGTAGGTTAAACTCCCTAGGACAGGCCTCTGGTCAGGAAACAAAGCAAAATACTAACAAGTTTTGATCCTTTAATTCCAAGCTATTAATCCTTTTACCCTTTTATATTATGTGAGGGAATTTTCCTTAGTGGTCTTAAACTGAGCAACAGGTCAGGTATGGATCATATACTTGTCACACTCGGGTTAACTTGTAGATCTACAAGTAGAATGACCTCTGCCTCCCTAGCAATATTTCTTGTCACTGTCCTCCTCAGACAGTAAACAACGGCAACTGAAGAGATAGGAGCTTGCGGTTACCTAGGAGGCAAGTCTAGTAGATATGGGGTGTTTGGTGCCCTCCAATTTTAAATGTTTACAGACTGACTGTCTCCTCTTTGAATGTAATGTACATGTGTGCACGTGGCCTCCAGCTCCCACCGTGACTTAAAAACCCCATTGTTCAATAATGTTTTCAAATGTGCTTTCAATAGTAATACTGAATGTGGTTTGAATGAATGATTCAGCAAAAATATTAGTTTGCAGTTGTAGGGAATGATACATCAGATTTACTTTTGTTTTTCTAGGTTGCAGAGCTTCAAGCTGAGATAGATGATCTGAAGATGAAATATGCAAATCTTTTAAGAGAAACAGAGAAGACACGAGATGGAAAAGATACAGAAGTTGAGAAGGTAACCTCCCGCCTCTACATATACAGGTTTCCCTATATTTTATTGAAGTTTTGAACACTTTTAATGTGCACACATCTTAATGAACAGCGAGTGTATCTAACAGTGATATCTTTTAGATCACTAATTTCTATCTTTTTTTTGTGCTAACACATTCTAACATTACCTTTGTGCTTTATCTGGTATGTTCAGATCAGCCGTGATGTTTTTGCTGCTGTTGAATGGCCAGTCAGTGCGCTGTTAGATGTTTCTTTTGCTTTTTCAGCTGCATAACATTTGTTGCACCTGGATCTGCTAACTAAACTTCCTTCAGTAATTCTGAGCAGCAAAACACTTCAGCTGGCTGTTGTTGCCAAAGCTCAGTCCAGAGATGAATCTTGGCACATTCTGCACGCTTAAAGGATTCTCTTTTAAGGGCTGTGATGATTCTTTAGGCTAATATGTTGTCTATTCCCAACACCCCATTCCGTCTGCCGTCCTCTGGAGCCCAGGTGAGGCAGGAGCTGCAGGGGCGTGTGGAGGAACTGAAGCCTTACCCCGAGTTACTGAGTGCAGCTGAGCAGAGTCTCTTCGAGTGCCAGGAGAACCTGCGACGCTCGGAGAGGAAGTGCTCAGAAAAGTCAGAGTCCATTAGGCAACTGCAGGTTAAGGTGTGCAATGATACCTGTGGCAGTCAGGTGGCATAAAATGCAGTCATTGTCCTACATCTAACCACTAGGTGGTAGTACAACCCCTTTTGTCTGTCAGCGCATCTTGTTTTCTGGTCCTGTTGTGAGTTGATTTTGATTGATTGTGATAAAGAATTCTCCGATTGCAGTGGAAACAAGTAGGTTGCAACCATCCTTACCTACCTACCCATTTGTGAGTGTTTTGTGCTGTGCGAGTCCTTTGCATTCACCCACATGTTTCCATCAGCGGTGATAAATTGGCATCTTGAAAACAAGACTTGTTGTGCCAAATAGCATGAAATGGGCTGTCATTTTATGCAGTTTGCATGTGATGTGAAACACTCTTATCTGCTCCATTGTAACAATTACAGGTGATTCTTAATTTGACATTTTACGTACACAGATAGAGAGTCAAACAAAATTGCTGAAATCATCTGTGGAGATGAAAGAGTCCACGCATGAGGCCAATTTACAACTACAAGAGAAAGTGCAGTCGCTTCAAAAGTAAGCCATCCTCTCGTGTCTGTTATCTAGATATCAAATATTTGTTTCTCATTTTGTACAGCTAACTAGAAATGTTGAACTTACGTGTGTGTGTGTGTGTGTGTGTGTGTGTGTGTGTGTGTGTGTGTGTGTGTGTTCGCTCGCAGGCAGATGGACACACTGCAGCAGGAGAACCTGGACCTGGTACGGAGGCTTGCAGCTCAGGAGGAAGCTCTCAGCTACAGTAACCGGCAGCTGGATCAACGCTCATCAGAGTCCCAGGCCCTCAGCCGGCAGCTGGAGGCAGCGTTATCAGACGTCAAACAACAGGTACAGCTCAGAGACAGCTCACACAGTTATCAACAAACATGACAAAAGCATCAAGTGTTTTGCCTATTAAACTATCTGTTTGGCAGATTGCTGGAAAATGTCATCAGTTGACCAGGTAGAATTGAATTAAAATATAATCCTTCTTTACCTTGGTCAACCAGGATAGGTGCAGCCCACTAATCCAATCAACATTTTTAATTAACAGATTGTAAGGAGCGTAAATGCCAGTGCAAATGTTCCAGTTTCCCACCTCAGATTTTTAACTTTAAAGTAATAATTTACATATACATATAAAATGTCTATGTGCTCTCTCACTGATTGATACAGCACAGTCGATCCCACAGGTCCTGAAACACTTATCTGTACTTGCTGTTAAAGACCCGATATTTGAAACACCTATAGTGTTTTCCAGATAAAGATCTGGCACAAAGGAAGCAATGTGTTTCACTTTGTCAGATAATTTAACGTTTTCCCACTCGTCCAGGTCAACAAGGTAAAAGACCAGGCTGTTTCCAGACAAGAGGCCCTTCAGACCAAAATCCTGGAGCTGGAAGCCGAGAAGAGCAGAAGGGATAATGAGCTGAGGCTTCTTCGCCAGAGCAAGCTCACTGTGAGTATCGTGCTTTTCTTGAGTACACAAAGCACATAAATGTTACGGAGCTGGCTGATTGCACTCAACTTAACCTTGATGCAACCTGGGGAAATATCTGAGGAAAATAACTGTCTGAATTTTAATCTGCAGGCAGAGAAACATTTCGATGCGCGTCTGAAGGACCTGCAGCTCAGCTTGGACCAGTCAGAGAGCCACAAACAAAGCATTCAGAACTACGTTGATTTTCTCAAAAACTCTTATAAAACAATGTTTGATGAGGGACTGCAAGCATCAAGTTTTGGATCATCATATTTTCTAAAATGATTAAGGATTCATCTGTTTGCATTTAAAACAAAATTGTTTTATGTGTACTGTAGTATTTATGGTTTATTTAAAAATGACAAAATAATATCACATTTTTAGAGTGAAAGGAATTTTTTTTAATATAGTTTTAGGCTATATATAGATAGCTACTTCTACATTTAGCTGACAATCTGGGACTTTTTTTTGTTGTGAGAGGTTTTGATACCTGTTTTTAGCTCATGTCCCAAGAGATGTTACATAATATTTTCACATGTGTATGCAAATTGTGGACTGTGAACTCTTGGTGCTAGTGTGTCTTATTCCTATTCGACAAGGAGCCAGTTGCATACATTCAGTTTTAGATTAGTCTGAACTTTCGACATCTGGTAGATTGTTGATTAATTCTTATGTTGCATAAACATTACTGATTGACTAATTCAGAGTTACTTAAAGTAACCACATGCCCCCCCTTTTAAGTTTGAGTAAAGATCCACTTTTTATAGCAGTATGAGTTGGTAACAGACGTGTTACCTTAGTCCTCTGTTTAAAACCTTAAACAATTTGGCAAATTTTTGGTTTATTGTCAGAGTTGTGTTGAAAATGTATTGCCAACTATTCCAAATATTGATTAATTATTTGAGTCATAAAAGGAAATGTAGAGTTTATCTGCTTTTTATCACTTTAAATTGAATACCTTTGGGTTTTGGACTTCCTCTATTTTCTGATATCTCATAGACTAAAATGAACAAAAACAAAAGGGGTTTCCAGATGGAGGAAAGCAGTGTGCCACTAGGTGGAACTGACTTGTTAGTCATCTTTTTGCTTTTGTCAAGTGTCTCGTTTTACCCACAGTCCGCTGTGCGCTTGGTTGTAATTCTTACCTTAGTCACTACTATATGAGTTCTATGTAACATAGTAAAAATGTGTAAGACTAGGTCTACTTTTTATGCAACTGGCTCCAGCTTGTTTTTTTGCCATATATTTTGAAGTGGCATGTATACCTATTATGAAAGCAATTTTTAACCAATACAAGTAGTGCTTGAAAACCAAATACCATGTGGGTGCATACGTCCACCCCTGCCCCCTGTTAACCAGGGGTGGAAGAGACCACATTTTCCATGGTGCTTAATTTAAACATGAACATGAACTTTGCTCTCGCTTTAATCATAATTATTTTAATGTGACTCACGCATCTATCCTGCTGATGCTGAAAACACTCTTGTGTCTGTTTTTGTGGTGATTATAGAAAATGTGTGATGCATATTGAATGTGTTTCTTGATTCTCAGCTGGACTGAGATGAGTGAAATCAATTGTTCCGCTGTCAGTTATGAAGCTCATGCCTTTGGGGTTGCAAACAGGATTACTGAAGTGATGCTGATACATGCGCCACTGGGATGTTTCCAAACCACTTTAAACTCTTGCTCAGTTGCACTCATGCTTTTGCAATGGAAGGTTTTTATATTACTGAGGGGTAGACGCAAACACGAGAACACAGGTATCTGCTACAGCATGATTTACCCAAAAACTGAACTATGTTCATCTTGTACTGTACTTCGATCTTCATGTTCTGCTGCAGTTGCTTGTGGTCTCATACTGTAGCTTTGGTAATAAACTACCATGGGTCCAGACCTGCGTACAGGCTGTGTTGGATGTGTTTTTGCTGTGGTGGTAGTCCCCCAAGTGAGCAGTACTTCTCTCAAGTTCTCAGAGACAAAGCTCTATTGTGCTCTCCGTCAGGGGATGGAACCATTTCATCTCTGCGTGCGTCAGTACCCCTGTTTTTCCTTTGCTCTTGTTCTTGCTCTCTTGGTCTTGCCCATTTACGTAATTCTGTTGATCACACTTTGGGAATTTGGTTTTCTCTGCTGTTTGCTGGAAAATATGTGTATGTCTTACTTCTAGCAATTTGGTTGGAATCACAATTCAGCACCTCGATGGGCACGCCCTGAGATTTTGTCTTAATTAGACTCAAATTAGTTGGGTGACCCATTTATTTTTCTTTTTTACAAACTGCTCCTGGAGCAATGATCAAAAACAAACAAGAAGATTCACTGTTGCATGTAACTGAAGGTCACATATAGAATGCTAAACTTTTTTGGACGGAAAATAACCCCTCAATATTTGCATGAATTCACACAAAGTCATATTTCAGACTAGAATGAGCAACATAACACCACTTTGCAATTTAGCATGCTTGAAAGAAACTTTAGAAGAGCAAGGAGAAATTATATTTAACTAACACTGTCACTGTATTGCATTCAATAGCAGAGAGCTACACAGTTCACATCGAGGCTTGTCCTCTGTTCTGCATGTAATATCTCTCTGTGGAACATTTAGATAATTCTCTGCGTACCCTATAACTGTTTCATAAAACAACATTCTGTGGCTTTGTGCCCAGTGTCCAACAGCAGGAAAACTACTGTGAGGTTTACATTACACTCATTCCTTTAACACACGTAGGCTTTCTCAGAAGTGGGTCAGCCAGATGCAGTTGAAACAGTATAGCTCATTTCCTACTGAAAATGGTTACGACAGAACCCTGGAGAATTCACTTTTTTCAGATTATTAGATTTTTTTTTCTTCCTAAAACATAAAACAATAAGAAAACTGCAGTGTTTTATGTGTTTATTTGTGAAAAATTAAAACAAAACTTACAATTTGGCAGTTAGTCCTTCAGTCATATTTCAACATTTTACATAGGCAAACAAGTGTAGACAAGAGGATGGCAAACCCATATTACTATACAAGATCACATGATTAAATATTAACAATACATTGAGTGAAGTATGAATAACTAATCCTTCTAAAGAAAATGAATAAGTACTGTAAATCAACAGAAACACAGCGACATGTGGAATGACTGATTTAGTAGCTGCCATAATTTTTAACATCATTTCCATGTTGTCTTGTCAAGAGAGGCTTAAATATGTTAAGTGTACAAAATAAAAATCACTGTCATAAAAAAAAGCTTCAAACAGAAGCAAAACCACAAGGCTCCAATGTTATGAAGCAAAATCATGAACAATATTGTTCAAAAAATTCATCCTTCAGATGTCTGCAACCTCAGGGTAACTCAACACTTAAAGAAGTCTTCTTTTCCACTTAAATTCAGAACTTTAAATTTGCAATTTGTGGATATCATTAAAAAGTCTATAGCGGCCAGCTGTCTTTTCATTATTGTCAGAGCAGTTAAAGCTACACTTGCAAGACTCAATCATCATCACCATCCTGCTTGTGATATCTCCATTTGTGCATCGGAAGCGGACAGGTGACGTCTGGGTTCGGTGAGGCCTGCAGCATCGCCCATCTGAGCAGGACCCACAGTACCTAGGCTGGAACTTTTTCAGGCTACGGCAGCCTGAGTGGGACAGTTTAACTGGATGGATGGCCTTTTCTGTGTGTTTGCATTTCTGACCTTTCTGTTAGGGAGAAAACATCAAAAGTCATGCTAAACGTAACCCGAGAGCTCTCAAAATGTAATTTATGGTTAAGATTGTGTTCTGAGGTTACAAACCACTATACAATGAAATAATCCAAATTAATCTTTGTAAATTCATGCTAAAATTAAGAACAGTAAAAGTGCGGAATGTACCTTTGATATTGTAACGGTCATTTTGTTGCACGGGCGGACTTCACAGATCCGAGTCTCTTTCACCAGTTTGCACTTGGTGTTGCTGTTGCTAGTCCTGGTGGACACTCCAGTGCCACAGGATTTCGAGCAAGGTGACCAAGCTGTGGTGTGAGACACACACTTGACTCCTCTGACCAACATGTGACCCAGTGGGTGACTCCTGAAAGCTGCACAGAGAAAAAAATAAGGTTGAGAGGCCTGAACATGTCGCTACGTTATAATTTCATAACATTTTGTTATATTTGGCTCCTAGTTCACTTCAGCATTGAAGGACTTTGTGTAAAACTGCTCACCAGGTAAAGATTCGCCTGTCCACACAGGAGCCAAGTCATTCTTGTGGGTCAGGTCGTCTTTGTCTTTACTATGCTTTTTTCTGTGTTTCTTTACCACAGAGCTCTCTGTCTTTGCTTCCTCATGGCATATGAGTTGTTCACAGCACTGTCCCGGTACCTTGACCCGCCTGGGCTTGGCACAGCCCAGTTTGGGCAGCGTGAGCTCATGTGGGCAGAGGGAGACGCATCCAACAGCACCGTCCATGCAAGTGCACTGGTGTTTGCAGTTTGGACGGAAGGTTTCCCCGTTCTGGTAAATCTTGTTATTGTACTCACACGTTCTTCCATCTGATCTGGCTGTTTAAGGGGGAAAAGAGAAAGTGGTGAGGTTGGAAATCAGAAGAGGAAAGGGAACAACGTGAATAAAATTTTAAAGAAAAGAGAACAGAAATCACTGTACCTCGACAGATGCCCTTAGCAGAGCCATATCCCCCTCCAAAGTTGCACTCCAGTCCCTTTGCGTGGTCACATGGCCTTGTCTTGCTGCAGTCTTCAAAGAGTTGTCGTGCACAAACTTTACAGCATCCACAGCCATCCAATGTTAGACTGACTCCCGTTGCACATCTGGGGGTGTCTGGGGGACACAGACAGTCCTTTGGGCATAAGGCTGACACCTGAGATAAAACATGACATCAGACGTTTCTTATCAAAAGTTTGATTCCAAAATCCTCTTATATGAGCTAAACAAGCAGCTAATGAATGAACAGTTATTATAAAGATTAATTCAGATTATATTCCTTACCAGTGTAATGCAGAGGCTCAAAACGACAAAGACTTTCCACATCTTCAGAAGTTAAAGTTATCTTTCCAGCGTAAACCAAATCAAACACCAGACCTGGCAGTGAGCTGACAAGTGCTTGCTCTCCCTCTTTTGGAGTCCCCATCTCCTTTTATACACTCCAAGCAGAGCTGACGTATGTGCAGGCTGAAGAGGTGTCCTGAAACTATGAGAGGAATGCTTCTCCACATGTCCTCCCATAAGCCCACAAGAAGCCCCCCCCCGTCTCCTCTCTCTCTCAGCGAGCCAAGAAATACCCAGTCTACCCTACATTCTTTCAGGGCTTTCTCTCCAATTTAACCGTGTCATTTTTATATCAGTTTATAATCAGGAAGTAGAACCACATGTAATTCCTCTGGCATGCTTTACATTGCTTGCTGCTAAATACACGCTATGCATGATTTTGTTCCTGTTCTGATAAATATTAATTCTATCATTGCTTTAAATTTATTTGAATACTTTTTAAAACGTCATACCTCTAGATCCACCCAAAGGAGGCATTATAGGTGTCCTTTTGTTGTTTGTTAAAGTCATGTTGTTTGTACAGTTTTTATTATGCCACCTTCTTGGCAGATCTATTTTAATCTAAATGAGACTGTACCTGGTTAAATAAAGGAAAAAGAAAGAAAGAAAGACTGGTGAAATAGGGTTAAGTAAAGGACAGAAAAAATAGGCACATTTATACCTGATACTTGAAATATGTTCATCATCAGCCCCATGCATGTGAGAGCAGCCCCTCAAGGAATTCAACATCGGGGCACCACAAGTTCTGACATAAATATTGAAGGAAAGCTACATATTTCTATAACCAACTGAATTTCTATCTCGGATGAAGCAGTGTTTAGACTGTTGCATGCTGTCTGTGATCGGTATTTCTAGTTTCTAACCTTGCTCATGTTAAAGTCACGGGTGAAATTCCCATCAGTCACCTATAAGGGTGTGGATGGATTAGAGTTTCTTTGACTTCAATATTTCAAAATAAGGGGAGGAGAGCCTCCTGGAATGCATGAACCCTAGGAATCCTTTGTTCGTCTGAATGAGAGCGTCCAGAATGAGAAACACACCAGAAAAAAACAAAAAGAAGAAGACCGAAAAAAGAAAACTTGAGCAATGCCTGAAGCAACATTCCACTCAGGATGAACATTGAAGGTTTCTTTGAAATAGCTGCCAGGATAAAAAGCATCCTCGTCTATCCACATCAAAGAACAATGGAAGTTATCAGGGGGAATAAATGCCTTTCCTTTCATTATAACCTGTGAGAACAAGAGGCTGAGCAGGGCAGACTGGCACAGCCTCCTTCTTATCTAACTGAGGTTACAAGGGCCAGCTTGAATTAGTGCCAGCTCAGGCAGATGAAGCACAAACAAGCCTCGTGCATTCACCAATGCCTGGAAAATGCTGACTGTTGTGGTTTCAAGTGGAAACTTTTCCCTCCAAAGCTGTAATATAAAGAATTTGCAGAACCATGTTAGGTAAGTGGAACATCTGATATATAACAGGCAGCTGGATTACCTGGAAAGGATTGCAGTTGCATACCAGCATTTGAATGCATCTTAAAATGTATAGATTCTAATATTAATGAAAGTATACAACTTTTAAATGATTTCCAAGGAGAACTTCTCATTCTTTTCTTGCCTTTTCTTTAAGTCAGAGGTTAGGGTGAGTGGGATAAGACTTGGTGCCATGCTCAAAGGCACTTTAGCAAAGCAGAAGTTTGCCATTATAGGGTTTTAAACTCAACACTCTCCCTACTACTACTACTACAATACCTCTTATCACATGTATGCAGCAAAAAACCTTGTTAGCTCAGCTTAGCATAAAGACTGGAAGCAGGGAGAAACAGCTAGCCTGGCTCTCTCTGACAGCCCCTGGCACTCTCTGGCCCAGTCACACAAGGTACAGCAGAATTTATCCACACATCTTCAAAAAATATGTTGTTCTGGAGGCTTGGTGAAGGGGGTTAATTAATAAACTGTAGCTGGTAAGCTAACTGCTAACAGTCTAGCCAGCAGGAAACATGCGAGCACTTATACATCATTTCATTCAATAAATTATTAAAAGGAAGTTTTTCCTCGCCTCTGTCGCCTAGTGCTTGCTCTTTGTGGGAACTGTTGGGTTTCTGTAAATATCATCACAGAGTATGGTCTAGACCTGCTCTTTTATGAAAAGCGCCCAGAGATAACTGTTGTTGTGATCTGGCGCTATATAAATAAAACTGAACTGAATTGAATTGAATTAAATGGGAATTTAAAAAAGCTCTCCTTGCTAGCAAGCTTGCTAACTGTCGGTTAGCTCAATCACTAATAGGACAATAAGTTCAAGTATTCAAGAGGTATATTTGTACTGTCGTCTCCTGTCTCATTACTGCAAACCATTCCTCTTTTGTTTTGCATTTTATCCTCCAAAAGAGGATGCTGAAAGGGGAAGGTGCAACAGCTAATAAGCTATATGCCACCATTTTGGACTCTCTGGCTCTCTGTTCCCTCAGCACTGTGAAAATGGTCTATTTTTGGTTCATGTGTAAATTTGCATGTAAAAATGCCAAGTTCCTGCGGTCACCCAGATTTACCTATCTTATTAGAGATGTTATACAATATATAATTACCCTCCCTGGGAATTATGCTATCAGGGAGCCAAAGATTTTACTTTTGTTACTCACTTTACTCACATGACACTTGATAATGTGCAGCATCCCACTGAAATTAAATCACTCCACAGTTTTAGTTCATTACATGTGCCTGCATCCTTGAGGATGACATTTAATGAGACGTTGAGGGCAGTCAAATGGGAAAGGTGAATGGGCAGATGTGATGATACTACATACATTCATGCTAACATAAAAGAAAAAAGAAGAGATAAATATGGGATTCAAACTCTGTGTAGCATGAAGACAGAAAATGGAAAGTCAGAAATACCTCCCCAGTTGTACACAGTGTTTAACCACAATTGGTCTGAGACAAGCTTGTTTTGGCTGTTACGTGAGAGCGGGTCATACACTGTACGAGAGACAGGAATGTCTGGAGGGTCTGTGCAGATATGATTAATCCAGTTCATTACATCATTTCTATTAATGACTTTCACTTTCTTTGTGTCTCATTCACTGTAGGGGCCACTCACAAGCCGGTGCACTGGGTTCGTCTGAATATCACAGCTGATTCGACATTATTTCCAGGTTACTGCTCTCTTCTGCTGTTTGACATGAATGATGTGAATCACTGTGAAGCTTTTCTGGATAAAGTAGGCTTGTATTGTCCATTTCTGTGGAGGCTTTGTTGCTACTTAACAAATGGTTTTTTTTCTTGTGTAAAGAGACTGATCCACATAGGCTACAGTTTGACCTTTTAACACCTGACATTTAAAGGGCATCGTTCTGCTGCAGTTCTCCTCCAGAAATTGCTGAGATGTGGCAGCAGCCACGTAGTTCAAATCATTATTATTACACTGAAAAAGCTTCTAGAGAGCAGAAGGCCGTGGCCTGATTTACAGTTAGCAGAGCTTACTGCTTGAGGTTGGTGTTTTCCAGCTACAAAGTACATATTACATTGCCGAACATGACTAAACAAGCCTGACAACAATCTCCTCAGGGGGAGCCCATCCTCAAACACTTCTTGGCATATGATGATTAGAGGGAAGTGAAAATTCTGACTGCATGTGTTTTGCCATTTTGCTATTTATTTCATGTTTGCTGGAGTGTTATGTTGGTTATTCTCATGCACTTTAGTTCACTGTACAATTATGTGAACACTTTGTTCTCCCTGAAAAACTTCTTTAACAGTTACTACTAACTACTGTATATGACTGCGGCTAGCTTTCTAATATCCAATGCCATCTAATGCCACCTCCACTTTCAACTATATTTGTATTTGTTGATGAACATGGTAATATACAACATAAATCAACAATGTAGAAGTCTATAAAACTGACTTTAAAAACACATGTGAGCTGATTTAGCATTTTAAATACTGGTATACTGTGAAATATACAGCAGTGGATAAAAACTGTGTAATGCAACATTAAGACGGTGGAAAGTGACATTTACTCAAGTACAAGTTTGAGTAAGTTGAAGTTTTATATTATATATAAAACTATATACATAAATCATTACTTTTACCCTTTTATATAGCACATTTAAAAACAGCCCTAGCTGACCAATGTGCTTTCCAGGTTCAAGATACACAACAAATATACATGACAAAAACAGTTGAAAGTGTCAAAAATGTCAAAACTCAACTCTGTGTGAAAGCCAATGAATGAATGAACTCAAAGACTCTACATACTCACACAGGTGTTCCCACTTATTCTGGCTGAGTAGACCTTTGCTCAGGTTGAAAGTGGGTGGAACTACTGTCTGCTGGGAAGTACATAAAGTCCCCAAACTCAATGTACAGTGCGAGTACGTATGACAAAAGTATAATGCAGTCTAATTATAGAGTCTGATACAACAGTCCTGCAATAAATCCTACATGTTAATTTATCAGTTAATATAATATAATATGCCATCATTCTGTAAATCAGTAATTTAGCTACATTTAGT